CTCTCTCTCTTTCTTTCTTTTTGAGACAGGGTCTCAACATGCAGCCCTGGCTGGCCTAGAACTTGCTATATCGACTGGGCTGGCCTCAAACTCACAGAGATCCACCTGCCTCTGCCTCCTGAGTGCTGGGATAAAAGGTGTGCCACCATGCCTAGCAAACTTTTTAAACCATTTATCATCATCATCATTATTACTATCATTAGATTTATTTTGCGTGTGTGCCTGTGTGTTTGAGCATGCACAGGCTCCACATCTGTGGAGATCAGAGAACCATTTCTCAGGGGTTAGTTTTTCCCTTGCACCATGTGGTCCGGTGGATCCAATTTAGCCTGAACCCAACCAACCAGCTCACCAGTCCAGACTTTGAACGTGTGATCCTCCTGCCTCTACCTCCCAAGTGCTGGAATTACAGGCGTGCGGCATTGTAGCTGCTTTGTACAGTGCTGGGGATCGAACCCAGGGCTTCATACACACTAGATCAAGCCTTCTACCAAGTAGGTTACATCTGTAGCCCTCCCTGGAAGTTGCCTACTGCCCCTTGTGAGGACCTCAGCTCCACAGAGAGAAGGGAATTCAGAAAAGCCCTGCTAGACGCGTGGGGGTGGTGAAGGCAGGACAGGTTTGTCAGGTGGGGGTGACTCACCATCCTGACTGCCAGCGCTCTGAAACCTCCCCAGTGGTTGGCGGTGAGGCAGCTGCTGCTCGGGACCAGGAGCTGTGAGGGTGGGAGTGAGTGGAGACCAGAGAGGAGAGCATGGGTCAGAACTCTCTGAGCTGGACCCTGGCTAGGAAGTGGGAGTTACTGGCTTCACTAGTGTCCACCAAGTGTGCCAAGTCAGAGGGGGTGGGGGGTGCTCTCTGGAGAATAGAGACACATGAGTCAGATTTAGGTCTGGGTGAGTGTCCTGCTAGATCATGCCAGTTAGCACAGCCAGGCTGCATGGAGAACTGGCTGTCCTGGCTGGAGACCCTAGCATCTGGGCTGTGGTAAGTGCCCCGGGAGGGCCTTGCTTTGGGAGTAGGGTGAGAGGTTGTGGGTGCCCTAGCCCTGAGGGAGGATTTGGTGGCACATGGTGGTCTTAGGTCTGACTGATTTAGGCCCCTCTGCCAGTTCCTGGTACCAGGATGGGCTTGGAAGTAGGATCTGGGGGCTAGGTTCAGCCTGTGTACTGGTATGGCCTAAAAACTGTCCTATTCTTAAGATCAGGAGCAGAGGCCCGGTGGTGGTGGTGGTGCATGCCGTTAATCCCAGCACTCCGGAGGCAGAGGCAGGTGGATCTCTGTGAGTTCAAGGCCGGCCTGGTCTACAGAGCGAGATCCAGGACAGCCAAGGCTACACAAAGAAACCCTGTCACGAAAAACAAAACAAAATCAGGAGGGAACCACAGCGTAATGATTACTGATCCTAGAGAAGAGACCGCTAAGCGAGGAGCCTTGATTGAGAAGCACAGGGAGAATGAAGTCATTCTGGCTGACTGCCACCCAGGGTGATGGGCTTGTGGCTTTCTAGCATCCTAAGGCCACAGGAACAAGGCGGGGGTAGATGTCCTTAAGGAAGGCATAGAGACTAGACAGAAGAAAAGACTTCCTATCCAGAAGAGAGTTGGATCCCCTGCAACCTGAGTTACAGAGGACTGTGAGCCGCCATAT